GCATTGTTGTGGCACTGCAGGAGGCCCAGGATGGACATGTCGTCTGAGGAATGGGAGGGGGAGTTGAAATGGTTCGCGACTGGGAGGTGCAGTTGTTTATTGCGAACCGAGCGTAGGTGTTCTGCAAAGCAGTCCCCGAGTCTCCGCTTGGTTTCCCCGATGTAGAGGAAGCCACACCGGGTACAGCGGATGCAGTATACCACATTGGCAGATGTGCAGGTGAACATCTGCTTGATGTGGAAAGTCTTCTTGGGGCCTGGGATGGGGGTGAGGGAGGAGGTATGGGGGCAGGTGTAGCACTTCCTGCGGTTGCAGGGAAAAGTGCCGGGTGTGGTGGAGCTGGAGGGGAGTGTGGAGCGGACAAGGGAGTCACGGAGAGAGTTGTCCCTCCGGAAAGCAGATAAGGGTGGGGAGGGAAAGATGTCTTTGGTGGTGGGGTCGGATTGCAGATGGCGGAAGTGTCGGAGGATGATGCGTTGGATCCGGAGGTTGGTGGGGTGGTACGTGAGGACGAGGGGGATTCTTTTTTGGTTTTTATTGCGTGGACGGGGTGTGAGGGATGAGGTGCGGGAGATGTGGGAGACACGGTTGAGGGCGTTCTCGACCACCGAGGAGGGGAAGTTACGGTCCTTGAAAAACGAGGACAACTGAGATGTACGGGAGTGGAATGCCTCATCCTGGGAGCAGATGCGGCGGAGGCGAAGGAATTGGGAATAGGGGATAGCATTTTTGCAGAAAGTTGGGTGGGAGGAGGAGTATTCTAGGTAGCTGTGGGAGTCGGTGGGCTTGAAATGAATATCGGTTTCTAGGTGGTTGCCCGATATGGAGACAGAGAGGTCCAGGAAGGGGAGAGAGGTATTAGAGATGGTCCAGGTAAACTTAAGGTTGGGGTGGAAGGTGTTAGTGAAGTGTTCACTAACTGTTCGAGCTCCTCGTGGGAGCACGAGGTGGCGCCGATGCAGTCATCAATGTAACGGAGGAAGAGGTGGGGTTTAGGGCCGGTGTAGGTACGGAAGAGGGATTGTTCCACGTAACCTACAAAGAGGCAGGCGTAGCTTGGGCCCATGCGGGTACCCATGGCTACCCCCTTTGTCTGTAGGAAGTGCGAGGAATTGAAAGAGAAGTTGTTGAGTGTGAGGACGAGTTCGGCTAAGCGGATGAGGGTATCAGTGGAGGGGGACTGGTCGGGCCTGCGGGACAGGAAGAAGCGGAGGGCCTTAAGGCCATCTGCATGGGGAATGCAGGTGTAGAGGGACTGGACGTCCATGGTAAAGATGAGGTGTTGGGGACCAGGGAATTGGAAGTTCTGGAGGAGGTGGAGGGCGTGGGTGGTGTCACGGACACAGGTAGGGAGTTCCTGGACCAAGGGGGAGAAAATGGAGTCTAGATAGTTGGAGATCAGTTCGGTGGGGCAGGAGCAGGCGGAGACAATGGGTCGACCAGGGCATTCAGGTTTGTGGATTTTGGGAAGGAGATAGAAGCGGGCAGTGCGGGGTTGGGGAACGGTGAGGTTGGAGGCCGTGGGTGGGAGGTCACCTGAGGTGATGAGGTTGTGGATGGTTTGGGAGATGATGGTTTGGTGCTCAGGGGTGGGGTCATGATCAAGGGGGCGGTAGGAGGAGATGTCGGAGAGTTGGCGTCTGGCCTCGGCGATGTAGAGGTCAGTGCGCCATACTACAACTGCGCCTCCCTTGTCCGCGGGTTTTATGGTGAGGTTGGGATTGGAGCGGAGGGCTGCACGTTCTGCGGGGGAGAGGTTGGAGTGGGTGAGAGGGGTGGAGAGGTTGAGGCGATTGATGTCTCAACGGCAGTTGGAGATGAAGAGGTCGAGGGAGGGTAGGAGGCCTTGGGGTGGTGTCCAGGAGGAGGGGGTGTGTTGGAAGCGGGAGAAGGGGTCAGTAGAGGGAGGGTTAGGTTCACAAGCTTCAAAATCTCCCCTCCCCCTACCGCATCCCAAAACCAGTCCAGCTCGTCCCCACCTCCCTAACCTGTTCTTCCTCCCACCTATCCCCTCCTCCCACCTCAAGCCGCACCCCCATCTCCTACCGACTAACCTCATCCCGCCCCCTTGACCTGTCCGTCCTCCCTGGACTGACCTATCTCCTCCCTAACTCCCCACCTACACTCACCTTTACTGGCTCCATCCCCACCTCTTCGACCTGTTTGTTTCCTCTCCACCTATCCTCTTCTCTACTTGCTGTGCTACCTTTGTTAATGCAGTAGCTATGTTTCTGTCACTACAGATGCTGCAGGACCTGCTGGCTATTTCCAACAGTTTTTCTTGCTACTTCAGATTTCCACCATTCATGGTATTTTGGGTGAAATCTTCCCAGACCCAGAATGACATAGACAGTGGTAAATCAGTTGGTAACGTATACTCAGATTGGATAAATTAGATTATGGACTTCGAGAAAAATTTTTGTTTGATTTTTCCACCTGGGTTTTTAACAGCAAGATGAGAATCTTGTCAGTGAGTGGCATGAGGCAGATTTGCATGCATTAACACAATCTGTCTTGGCTTTCTGTGCCCCATTGTGGGACATTTATGTCTGCAATGAGACAAATGGGGAGCATTTTGTGAAATGGAAATGGCTATTACAGCTGCTGATGTATGTGGCTGAAATGCAGTGAGGTGACTCAAGTGAGTGAATAGGAGTTGCAGAGGACATGCAGTGTTACTAATTTTAGTCGGTGATAGGGTAGGCTGGGTGAAACAGAGGAAAAACGCTGCGTGCAGTCGTTGACGTGTGATACCATGAGCCTTGGTGGTGCAATGTCTGTGTGATAGCAAGTGAGAAGACGCTGGCATTTACTCTTGCAGAGCGAATAAAGTATTAACCTTCTTCCTGCATTGCAGTTTATTCCTCTAGACGGTGGATACCTCACTGACCTGGTTGGCAGCTTCAGACTAAAAGATGTTGATACTAATCCACCTTCTCTGAAGGTGCATTACAGCATATTCAAGTATCTTGATTTAAAAAAACATTCAGTGTTTAACCTACTGAAACAACTGCTGGTGCACAAAGTGCAGCCTTGAATAATTACAACGAACGTGAAGTTAGAATCTCTTAATGTCACTTTTTCTCAAGTTCCGCTCTCTAAATAAATAAGTTTTATTGTATATAGAGCCTGAAACAGTTTCTTTGAAATTCCTAGGGAGACTGTTACTCCACTTGGTATCAATTTCCAAAGTAAATTAGGTTAAAAGGCAATGAACGGGTAGTGGTTGTATCAAAATTAATGTTAATTTTCACCACATTGTACTACATGTATATTCAAATAAGAATTTGCTTCTTGTTTGAATAGGCACTGAGTCAGCAGATGGAAGATATGCTCAAATGCTGTTTAAGAGTTTATTTGAAGATTATACCGATGCTCTCAGGCCTGTGGAAGATACAGATCTAGCCTTGAACATCACTTTGAAAATCACCCTTTCTCAAATTAAAGATGTGGTAAGATCTGCTTATACTGCCTTTTCCTCACCAATTCTCTCTTTCCTTTTTGTTTCCTTCATGATGTTAGCATTTTTTTTTGCTCTAGTTCCAAAAGATCACTTACGCTTTAGTTATTTTCTATTTAACCTGTTCAGAAATGTTATTAAAAACCTCTGGAGCAGATGGGTCTTGAACCCAGGCCTTCTAAACTAGAGGTAGGGACACTACCACTGCACCACAAGAGAGCCTCACCCATGTTTTATTATCTTGTCCAAATGATCACTCTTCACTTGTGAGCCTTAATGGTGATTGTTAATAGGCTATTCAAGTGCCAAGTGCACACCGCCAATTCTGCCCTCCTCATCTGTTAATTGTGCACAGTGGTATTATCACTGGACTGTTTATTGATGGTCCCAGCTGATGTTCTAGGGTCCTGGGTTCAAATTGTGCCATAGTAGATTGTGGAATTTGAATTCAATAAAAATCTGAAATTAAGAGTCTGATGATGACCTTGAATCTGTGGTTGATTGTCAGGAAAAACCCATCTCCTTCACTACTTGACCCTTTTGGGAAGGCAACTGCCTTCCTGGCCTACATGTGACTCCAGGCCCACAGCAATGTTGTTGAATCTTAACTGCCCTCTGGGCAATTAGGGATGGGCAATAAATGCTAGCCTAGCCAGTGATGCCTTTATCCTGTGAATGAATAAAAAAATACTTTCCAATGCATGCATCATGTTCCGCATAATGGTACAACAACAGGTACCAGTGCAAGTACAAGGTCAAATCCTTTTAATTCACTCCCATGATTTTACACAGTAGAATGATCAACAGAAGAGAAGGAAATAAAAACGCTGAAGAGAAGGAGGCTCAATGTATTGGTTTCACATGGATATTTTCAATAGTTTCACAGAATAAATTGCAGCCACAATATAGATCTACTTATTTTGAGTTAAAATTTAATGTTCAATATTTAAATGTTATGTAATTGAGTCACAGGAGTTTAAGTTGAGATCCCAGAACTTTCTATGCTTCCTGTTCTTTTTGGCATCATCACATTAGAAAGGTCTGCATCGTTTTGCTGTGGTGCACTGCATTTTTTGAAAGGAGTGGGAGCTGGGAACCGATGAAGGAGTGTAATCTGGACAAACAGCCCAATCAGTTGATGTAATGCTAGCATGCGAAATATGGACTATGCAGGTCCAGGCAACGTATTCGCTTATCACTCTGCAAGCAATAGGCTCCGTGCAAGTGCTATTTAAAGGGCTAGGCACCCAATATGTAGGTGCAGTAATTTATGAAGGCAGCAGTTCTCAGGAGTCTGAAAGCAGAAAGGCTGTTTATCATTGATGAGATAACAAGGTGTAGAGCTGGATGAACACAGCAGGCCAAGCAGCATCAGAGGAGCAGGAAATCTGATGTTTCGGGCCTAGACCCTTCTTCAGAAATGGGGGAGGGGAAGGGGATGCTGAAATAAATAGGGAGAGAGGGGGAGGCGGATAGAAGATGGATACAGGAGAAGATAGGTGGAGAGGAGACAGACAGGTCAAAGAGGTGGGGGTGGAGCCAATAAAGGTTAGTGTAGGTGGGGAGGTAGGGAGGAGATAGGTCAGTCCAGGGAGGACGGACAGGTCAAGGGGGCGGGATGAGGTTAGTAGGTAGGAGATGGGGGTGCGGCTTGAGGTGGGAGGAGGGGATAGGTGGGAGGAAGGACAGGTTAGGGAGGTGGGGACAAGCTGGGCTGGTTTTGGGATGCGGTAGGGGGAGGGGAGATTTTGAAGCTTGTGAAGTCCACATTGATACCATTGTGCTGCAGGGTTCCCAAGTGAAATATGAGTTGCCCTGCAACCTTCGGGTGGCATCGTTATGGCACTGCAGGAGGCCCAGGATGGACATGTTGTCTAAGGAGTGGGAGGGTGAGTTGAAATAGTTCGCAACTGGGTGGTGCAGTTGATTGTTGCGAACCGAGTGTAGGTGTTCCGCAAAGCGGTCCCCAAGCCTCCACTTGGTTTCCCTGATGTAGAGGAGGCCACATCTGGAACAGCGGATACAGTACTATCTCTGTTTATCATTGATATGAGAGAAAGTGGATGGTCTAGAAAGCAAGAGGTCCATGATTAGACTGTCAACAATTTGCTCATGCCAGATAGCAGAATGAGGGTTTTCTGGTAGTTGAGAGGAATGTAAAGCAAGAAGATACCACCATCCTTAATGTTATTAGTTACATTGGATGTCATTGGGCCCCATTATGTTGACTTGGTTTCAGGTCCTGATAGCTTCTGTGCAGCAGTAACATTTTTTTTATAGTAACTCCTTTATGCCTTCTTGGTTCCTGATAAGGAATTAATGGGCAAGGAGGATGTTAACTTGCCTTTGACCTTGACATTTGCATCTTCTCACAGTCATGAAATGGGAATGAACAAAACAGGGTCTCTTTAGCCTTGTTCAGTACCTCTAAAACATTTGAGTATTGTCTTCAATCTGTTTGCAAACCCATGAGCATTTCTTTGTCAAGTGAGTCCGCAGAGTCACATGATATTAAAATACCAAAATCTAAATTGATTGATTAAGTAGAATAATATAACATCAGATTAATCAATTGAGAGTGGTTAGCAATGCATTTGGGATCTTGGACTTCACAAATAGAAGCATTAAGTACTAAAGCAGGAATGTTATGATTAATCTCTGTTAGGCTGGACTATTTAAATAGTTCTGGTCATCATACTTTAGGACGGATGTGAGTGTCTTTGAGAGGGTGCAGAAAAGATTTACCAGAATTTTTTCCAGGGATGGGAGATTTTAGTTGCAAGGTTTGATTTGAAAGATTAAGCCCTGATCTTTCCCTTGTGGAATAGATTTGATTGATTTGTGCAAAATAATGAATATTTTGGATAAATCAGACAAAGAAAATCTGTCCCTCTGTTACAAGGACTAAGGGATAATTTAGGATAAGAGATGAAAGTGAGTGTTAAGAAGAATATTTTTACACAGCAAGTGGTAATGACTTGAAGGTTGCAGCTTACAAGGTTGGTGCAATCAATGATTTCAAAAGGAAATTGGGTTGGCAGTTGAGGAAAATAAACCTGCAAGGGTTTGGAGTCAAGCAGGGGTTGGGATGAATGGATTGCTCCCTATGGAAGTGAAAGTCACTATAGTCCCAGAGAACCATAGGCTGTTCCCTCATGAGAGAGACAGATGACTAGTGTGTTTAACCTCTGAGGAGCGAGGTTGAGAAAGGAGGGGCTTCCATTGGTGGCTTCATCAGGTCTGAGAATCTGCACAACAAGAAATCGTGATGGATAAAGAGCTCAATGTAAAATGTAGCCAAACTCTAGTTGATGGGAGATGGCTAGTTCTAAGAAAAAAAATCATGAGAGATGTGGCTTTTTCATGTTTTATGCAGTTACTACTTTTTAAGTAGTTTGCTCATGTGCTTTTTTTCTGATTATGTTTCCAGATACACTTGTTAACTATCTCAATCGCTTAAATTCCTTGTATAAAGGTAACACATCATAGGTTGACCTAATAGTTCTAGTACAGTTGAGATGTTCTCTGCTATTGAGGGTCACAATGGTAACTTCTGGGGATCTCAGTTACCCTTGAACCTAGACATTGCAGGTTGTTGCCAAGAGTTGTCAGTGCGTAATTGTTCTGTTTATTCTGTTTGCCTGATATATTGTTCTTTATCCTGACAGAGCCAGGCATACTGTGGGAAGCACAAAGGGTATGAGCAGTGCTAGGAGAGATCATGTAGATGGTGAACAGGACTAAGGAATGCTGGGGGATGGGGTAACTGGGCTATTAGAATTAAAAGTTCGATAAAAGAAACATTGAAATCACTTTAAAACTGTTAAAAGCAGTTGTAAACAGCTGTGAATACTTGGAAAGCTCTTAAAAGTACTTGGGTAAATACTTATTCATCTTACTTATTTTGTTAGATCAATGAAACAAAATACACTTTCCTATTTTTAAAAATAATGCTCAAAATTTAAAAGCCACCTGCCAGAATATTATAAAACCACTGGACCTCAAGGATTGTTTCTTCCTTCAATTATGTCAAAGGAAATGAGGCTTCAGTGCTCTTGTGCCTCACCACCAGCCATCCCAAGTTTACTTGTTGATTTAAAAACCAAAAAAATTGCCGATGCTGTAAATCAGAAACAAAAGCAGAAATTGCTGCAAAAGCTCAGCAGGTGTGACAGTATCTGTGGAAAGAAATCAGAGTTAACATTGCGGATTGAATGACCTTCGTCAGAACTTGTTTTTGTTTTTAATTATTATATGTCAATTGTTGTGCCCTGCAGCTGGGTGGTGGGGGGGGGGGGCAGTGGAAATGGGGTTGAGGGTGGGGGGTGGGGTAGTCCTGTCTGTTTCAGCATTAAAAAAAGGCTGTAGGGTGAGCACTGCTTTCCTACACTGTAATTTGTTTTTATGTACTTGTAGGATGAAAGGAACCAAATTTTGACAGCTTACCTTTGGATCCGACAAATCTGGTTTGATGCTTTCCTCAAGTGGGACCGTGACAAATATGATGGGCTTGATGCTATCCGAATACCCAGTAGCTTTGTGTGGAGACCCGATATTGTTCTATATAACAAGTGAGTTGGAATCCATTGTTTTGTCAACAATTAAAACATTTCAACAGTATCTCATTTCCAAAGAACTTTATTGCTATAAAAACATTCTGATGTCCTTTTAAAATTTTATAAAAGTGGAAGTATTGATTTACAATTCGAAAATGTAACATTTAATCAATCATTGGAACAAAATCTTGGAATTGCCTTCCTAACTGCATTGTGGGTCTACCTACAATACATGGATTTTAGCAGTTCAAGAATGCTGGCACAGCCAGCAACATACATGTGTCACAAGTAATTTAAAAAACCATAATTATCAGTAATAATATAATTGCTCAGTTCCTGATCTCATAACATTCTTAGTTCAAGAATGGACAAAAGATCTCAATTCCAGAGGTGTGGTGAGAGTGACTTCCCTTGACATGAAGACCACAATTAACCAAGGCATCAAGGAGTCCTAGCAAAACAAGTGACAAATAACATTCATGCCACATAAGTGCCAGGCAATGATCATCTCCAATAAGAGAATCTAACTACTACCCCTTGACATTCAATGGCATTGCCATTGCTGAATCCCCCACCATTTACATCCTGGCGATTACTATTGGCTGAAAACTGAATTGATGTAGCCATATTGTACCATGGCTACAAAAGCAGATCAGAAACTAGGAATCCTGCAGTGAGTAACTCACTTCCTGAATCTCTAAAAGCTGTCACCATCTACAAAGCACAAATCAGGAGTGTGATGGAATACTCCCCACTTGCCTGAATAAATGCAGCACTAGCAACACTTAAAGCTTAACACAATCCAGGGCAAAGCAGCCCACTTGATTGGCACCACGTCCATGCTCTCCACCACCCCCTCCAAGCCACTCACCATCTGACTTGGAAATCTATCTATGTTCCTTCAGCATCGCTGGGTCAAGTGGTTAGTATTGTGGGTCTACCTACAGCATGTGGGCTGCAGCGATTCAAGAATGCAGCTCACTACCACCTTCTCAAGGGTAACTAGGAACAGACAATAAATGTTAGCCAGCCAGCAATGCCCATGTCACATGTCCCACAAGTGAATAAAAAAAATCTTTCTTTATCACACCATATCTCATCAGCACCTTTTCAATCTTTGTTCATTTCAACTGCTTCATTCGTCTGCACCATTAGGAAGCTGAGAGCAGTCTTCATGTTTAATGGCCACTTAAATATATTTGTCCTTTTGAATGTTCATCATTTATCTTGATTAAAAATGCAATATATTGATTACTAATTGATCTAATTCATATTGAAACTTTAGTAACTAAATTCTAACCTGATAACTATTTTTAAATATCAGCAGACTAAAAATTGAGTCATGTTAATATTGTATGTTTAAGGTATGAATATTAAATTCTCAGTGCTATTCTACACAATACCATTAGCACCAAGATTAGGCCATTCAGACCCTTGAGCCTGTTCTTCAATTCATAGAGTCATAGAAGTCTACAGCATAGAGAAGATCTGTGCCAATTGAAAACAATGACCTAACTGTTCTAATCCCATTTTCCAGCACCTGGCCCATAGCCTTGTATGCATTGGCATCGTAAGTGTACATCTGAATACCTCTTAAATGTTATTGCCTCTGCCGTTCTTGCAGGCAGAGAATTCCAGACTCTCACCACCCTCTGGTTGGAAAAATGCTTCCTCACAACCCTTCTAAACTTCCTGCCCCTTAACCTAAGTTCTCTGATCCCTCCACCAAGGGAACATGTAGCTTCCCATCTGCCCTGTCTATTTTCGTCATAATTTTATACATCTCAACCATGGCCCCTTCAGTGTCCTCAGCTCCAAGGTAAACAACCCCAGACTATCCAATCTTTCTTCATAACTAAACTCTCTAGTCCAGGCAACATTGTGTTAAATATCTTATGCGCCCTCTCAAATGCAACTACATCACTCCTATAATGTGGATTTCAGAACTGCACAGAAGACTCTAACTATGGCCTGAATAGCTTTGCATATAGTTCTGGCATAACTTCTCTGCTCTTAAAGTCCATGCCTTGGCTAGTAAAGACAAGTATTCAATATCCCTTCTTAACCACTTTATCTACCTGTCCTGCTACCTTAAGGTAGCTCATGGACTCGAAAACACAATAAGTCTGGTTTTGTAAAGGTCAGTTGACCCACTCAGCCTACTGTTTAGCAGTGAAGATGAAAATTTCTGCTCTCTGTTTAAAAGAAGCAAAATGAAAGCCTAATTTAATGAGCAATTTCGCAGTTGGATCGGGCATTGAGATGTTTAACAACGGAGACCAAGATAGTGGTGGGTTTGATCCCTGCTCTGTCCACAATGAGCTGATAGCCAAAACTCTGATAAATTAACACAAGCACTGACCTCAGCACCCTGAATTAGGTATAGAAGCTAAAGATATGTTGCCTGTGGGAAGGCAAAAGGATCGGACTTGACACATTTTTTATTCTTGAACAGCTGGCTAGGATGTGAAGAAATGTGACGTGGGGTCATGGGTCAGGTTTTCACAGAAGACTGCTTGAGAAACAGTACCTTTGGTAAGGAAGAAAAGCCTTGAGTAGAGAACAAGGGAGGGCAAAAAATAATCAGAGGAAAGATCAAGTAAAGTAATTAATTTTTAGTTGGCTGTAATAATTTATATTAATGAAATTACTGAATACCTTTATCGTTAGATATCTAAAGATATCTTTATCTTACTGAATAAACCTTTGTGTAACTGACTGCTGTGGGTGCTTTGGTAACTTGTTATTTTAGAGCTGATGATGAGTCTACAGGATCCATGGAGACAAACGTGGTATTAAGATATGATGGGCAGATTACTTGGGATTCTCCAGCGATTACAAAGAGCTCATGTGTAGTGGATGTGGCCTACTTCCCATTCGATGATCAGAGGTGCAACCTTACATTTGGCTCTTGGACCTACAATGGAAATCAGGTCGACATCATTAATGGACTTGACAGTGGAGATCTAACTGATTTTGTGGAAAATGTGGAATGGGAAGTCCATGGAATGCCAGCAACAAAAAATATAATAACATATGGGTGTTGTTCAGATCCTTACCCAGATATTACCTACACATTAATCCTCAAAAGGAGGTCTTCATTTTACATTTTTAACTTATTGATCCCATGTGTAATGATCTCATTCCTAGCACCATTAGGATTTTACCTACCAGCTGATTCTGGAGAGAAGGTGTCTCTTGGTGTGACTGTGCTCCTGGCACTGACTGTGTTTCAGCTGATGGTCGCAGAAAGCATGCCTCCATCTGAAAGTGTTCCATTAATCGGTAAGTGACCAGCTTTGAGCGTTAGTAACCATAGAAACATAGAATCTAGGCCATTGAAGCTTCTTGGAGCCTGACTACCATTCAGTAGTATCATGGCTGATCTTTATCTCAGTGCCATATTCTTGCTTTCTCCCAGTCTCCTTTGACGTCTTTAGAATCTAAACATTTATAGCTTTCTTGAATGTATTGAGTGACTTGGCCTCCATAGCCTTTTGTGGTAGAGAATTCCACAAGTTCACTGCCATTTGAATAAAGAATGTTTTTTCTCATCTCAATCGTTAATGGCCTGCCCCACATCCTGAGACTGTGACCCCTGGCTCTAGACTCCCCAACCAGGGAAAACATCCTCCCTACATTTAGTATGTCCAGCTCAAGATAGGATTTTATATTTTTCAGTCAGAATCCCTCTCATCCTTCTAATCTCTAGTGAATACATGCGCAGTTGAAGCATTCTTTCCTCATATGACAATACTGCCATTCCCAGTATCACCCTAGTGAACCTCCACTGTACTTCCAAAACTGCATTCAGTATTCCAGGTGTGGTCTTAACAAGGCTCTGTATAACTGCAGTAAGATAATCCTACTTGTAAACTCAGGTTCTCTTGCAGTGAAGGCCAATACACTATTTGCCTTCCTAATTGCTTGCTACACTTATCTCTCTCCTTGGCTGGTATACAAGGACACCCTGATCGCTTTCTAAATCTACATTTCCCAATATATCACTACTTAAATAACTATTACTTCACATTTAGCCACTTTATTCTGCATCTGCCATGTGTTTGTGCACCCACTCGACTTGTCTAAAGCACTTTAAAGTCTTCTAAGAAATCTCTATCCCACTCAGTTTTATGTCATTGGCAAACTTGGAAATGTTGCATTTGGTTCCCTCGTTCAGGTCATTCATATATGCCATACACTGAAACACTGATCCTTGTGTTATCCAACTAGTTGCTGCCTGCCGCCTCTCCACTCTGTTCCTGACTGTCAACAAATTCTCAGTCCACGCCAATATGATCCCCTATTTCACGTGCTTTAATTTTGCCCACTAACCTCTTATGTAGGATATTATTAGAAGACTTCTGAAAATCCAAATACATCACATTTATTAGTTCTCACTTATCTATTCTACTAGTTCATCCTCAAAAAACTCCAGTAGATTTGTTAAGCATGATTTGCCTTTCATAAACCCGTGCTACCTTCTGTTAATGCTTTCCAAGTGTTCTGTTATCATGTATTTTATGAGAGACTCTAGCGTTTCCCCCACCTATAAAGATGTTAGGCTCAATGGTCTGAAATTCTCTTTTTTTTTCCTCTCCCTCCCTTTTTAAGTAGTGAGGTTACATTTGCCACCCTCCAACCTGTAGAAACTGCTTCAGAGTCTATAGAATTTTGGAAGATGATCACCAACGTGTCCAATATTTCCAGGGCTACTTGCCACTATTCTGGAATGGTGATTAGTCAGCCTTTAACTCTATTAATTTCCCTATCACTATTTACTTAACAATACTGATTTTCTTTGATTCACCCTTTTCATTAGACCCTTGGTTCCCTGATACGGTTTATGTGCTTTCTGTTAAATACATGGCAGGGTTTTAGAAGTGGGTATTGGCTTAGCAATGAGTGTGTGGAAATGGAGTTAACATATTTCAGAAGCTCTGAGTTGATGACCTTGTTCTACCAAAAGATGCCAAAGGTATGTATAAGACAATAAAGGTGGAAACTGTTCAGCTCCAAAAACCAAATGCAGTTACTTAATGATTTAGATTATTGTGTTAGTTAAGGCCAACTTCCTGTTCTATGCCAACATGATAGTGGGATTCACCCCCAGCTTAGACCCTTCTCATAGTAATTCTATCAACTGAGTTTTGGTATAAATGACCTTAGCATCACTATTTAATGTTCATCTCCTTGTACATCTAAAGTAAACTGTTGCTTTTCCACTGGGGGCATTGGTCCCAGACTGCTTTGATATGGGTCAGTGATGGCTGGTGGGGACCTGCAACCACCGTACTGGAGATCCATTGGGCACTACATTCCCTGGATTCAATAAACAGAGACCCCTATGATATACTCCGCTGCTGCCTCAATTTCTATAACTGGGCCTCATGTTGTTGATGATTTCCTTTACTGCATGATTTATTTCACAACGGCCCAGATATAGCTTTTGTATCTTCAACTTCCTTTGTGCTCTTTCAGCCTTTTCCACGTGAATCTAATGTCCAGTTATGTTTTTAAACCTAAGTACTAACACCTTTAATGTTTTTTTCTGATATATCCAGTCATTGGATTGATATTCTCATTGGATTCAACTATTATATCAATTACTCAGACTCATGCCTGACTTGCCAGAACTGTCAGTGATTTTACTTTTTAAGTTCAGTGATCAAAGATTATGATTGACACAATCTTATACTAAATCCAACACCTTTAGTGCAAATTTTAAACAAATCAGTTTAAATTAAACCAACCAATTACTCTTGGGTAACAGATACCCTCAAGTGGTCAACCTGAGTTAAATGTGATAGTTGACTAAATTTTCCTGCTTGCGGTACCAGGATTTTTCCTGTTGGCATGTATCTTCAAGTGTACCCCATCAATATGCATCATTTGCCTTCTTTCTTCAGCATTCCTGTGTGGGATATTTTCAAACGTTTACATACAGAATACAGTTTTTGAAAGCGACCATGCATTGTTTTCTTCTGGATTGGTTAATTGGATGCGTTAATGGTTGTTAGTTGCCATCTTTCATTAGTTTAGCAAAAAAGTACTTAGGATTTCTTGTCCCATTATGATCAGTTTTCTGCAATTAACTGTTCTACTTCAGTGTAAATGTTCCAATCAATTCAGCAGTATCTGCAATTAACTGCATTGATTTAATTAACAAGTGTTCTATCAGTCTGGTTCCAACTTAACTAACAATGCTCTGAAATTGGCCTTCTTGTGGCTAGTGTCCCTACCTTGAGCCAGGAGATCTGGGTTCAAGTTCCATGTGCTACAGAGATGTGTAATAACATCTCTTGACAGGTTAATTAACAAATTTTAAAAAAGGGCTGTGAACTCCCAGCCAATCTGTTTACCCTATCCTTAGGCTGATACTTGTTGCACATCTTCCTTTGCTTTTACCTTTTCACTTACCCATGAGCTGTCCACGTTCAGCCTGATTTGTATTACCAACTTGGCATTCTCCGTATGTACTTTAGACCCACTAGCTTGATAGTTTGTCTGACATTAACATTTCTCTACAGATAGATTTGCTTAAAACCAAATTTCATAGTAGTCAATGTGCGGCAAGAAACTGAAAAGTGCTTTTTAGTTGAAACCCTGAAAGGAATTCATGTCTTCATGAAAGATAGGCAGAAATTGGTGATGACAACATAACACACAGGTAAAATACACATGTACATCAAGATTTTTTGCATTGAAGGAAAAGAGACGTGGCTTTGCCAGAGGAAAGAAGTATATCATTTGACTATAGGAATAATTTGAATGAATAAGTTTTGTTTTGGTAGATTTGCATGTAAGCAGATCATTTGGTTTGAATAGAATGCATGAAAATAATACATTGAACATACAGCTTGCAGAAGGAATGGCCATGAATCAAATCACCTTTCCTTAACATGGTGCATGTTCTTAAAATATTCATTCAATTTGAGTTCTAGTATGAAACTTTAAGCCATTCCAATATTTGTTTCTGTTTATTCCTCAGGTAAATACTACATAGCAACAATGACAATGATCACTGCCTCGACTGCACTAACAATTTTCATCATGAATATTCATCACTGTGGGCCAGAAGCGAAACCAGTTCCAAAGTGGGCGAAAGTGATTATATTACAGTACATGTCAAAGATATTTTTTGTGTATGACATTGGTGAAACCTGCACAGTGGTGCAAAAGAAAAATGGAAAGAATCACTATACATTACAGATGGATAATTCCAAAACAAATGGAAAATTTGGAAAAGATTGCGATTTGACACTAAATGCTCACCTTTCTAAAATGTACCCCAACTCAGTGCTGAAGGATGAAGCTACTCTGTCCGTGATACCAATGCATCGATGCCCTGCATGCAACCAGAAAGTACCAAATGGACATTTTGATAGAAGTATAGGTGGTAGTTGTGTAAGTGAAGAGGATCTAAACATGTCCTGTTGTTTCTGCTATTTACATTGTGGCAGGGTGGCAAAAAATATTGAATTTATAGCCAATTGCTTCAGAGAGCAAAAAGCAACCAATGCTAAATCTGCTGAGTGGAAGAAAGTGGCTAAAGTAATGGATCGTTTCTTCATGTGGATTTTCTTTGTCATGGTATTTTTCATGAGCATTTTAATTGTAGGAAAGGCAACATAACTTTATTTTCACATCTTATATGATGTTTAATTGCTTACTTAATTATAATTACTGTAGTCTAGCATCTTTTATACTTTGGTAGTAGCAAAGTTTAGTAGTGGATATCCTTTTAACTGTTAACTTGTTTAGTCAAGTTTTATTTCAGTTTTGTAAACCTGAACATAGAATCCATCAGCTCTCTACAAACAATTTAATTCAATAGCTGTTTTAGTCCTTTAGATGTTAAATCTTGTTTTCATAATGCAAGACTAAATTATTTAGTTAGTTGAAACTTTGTAGGAGTTGCAGAAAACAGCAGTTTTCTTTGTGAATTCTCAAACCTGTGATTCCAGGAAACATCTGCTGAAGCCGTTACGTTTGCTGAACTGAAGTTTTTTGCAGGTCTGTTCACTATTGTGTACATTGTATTGTTGCATAACTACTTCTGTAAATGCATTTGGATTTTTCACTTGGCTCTGTTAAGTGAAGTAGTGGTTGACCAGCCCAAGTAGCATTGATCCTCCTTACTATGATCAGACCTTCTTATTATTCCAACATCAGCTTTGAAGGCAAGTACAACCAAAGTTCTCTTCACCACGACCCATTATCTCCTTCACTACTTCACATTCATCCTGTCTCAAAGAGAAACTCATGAGTTTCTGTATCCAAAATTGAGCCCATTGTTTAGTTGCTTCTACAATGATTTTGCCGCCTCTTGATACCCAGCCTTCTAATCCCTCTGCTTCCATCCGACACTCATCAACCATAAAAATTCTCATTTCTTTCAAGAGATCCCTCACATGTTGCTTTTGTCTTTCATGCTAACACCGTCACCCTTTGGATTTTGTTGAGGACTAACATTTTTGACAGCCTCTCTTTTAAAAACCTAACTGTCAACCATCTCCTCTGGTCATCCACCTCCAAAACTGTTCCTCCACCTCAACCCCTCCCCTTTGGCCTTTAAACTGCACTCAACTTGTTCACTGAGAACTGTTGATGTGACATCGGTCACCTTAATTTCTGTGCCCTCCTTACCAATTAGAACCTGTCTCCCTCTGAACTGACTGCACTCCATGGTCTCATATCCAATCCTGACTTTGTCATTGGGCCTGTCGGTAAGGGCAGTGTTGTTGTGTGGCGTACTGAACTCTACATTGCTGTCTTTTGGCACAATGCTACCTTTGAGGCAGGAGGTCTGGGTTCAAATTCCATGTGCTGCAGAGGTGTGTGATAACATCTCTGGACAGGTTGATTAACAAACTTTAAAAATTTCTCTGCATTACCAAATAATCTGCTTACCTTGTCCTTATGCTGATATTTATTGCACGTTTTCCTTTATTTTTACTTTCTCGCATCCCCATTGAGCTCTCCATACATTGTGGTATATAGATGATATCATCTCTGCTGCTTCCCTGTCATCCCGAATTGGAAAATTTTATCAATTTCACTTCCAATTTCCACCTCACCCTCTCTTTCATCTGGCCCATCTCTGACTCCTCCCTTCCCTTCCTCAACATTTCTGTTTCCATTTCTTGGGATAGGCTGGTCACCAATATCCATTACAAACCCACCCAACTCCCACAGTTACTTGACTAAACATCCTTACACCCTGCTTCCTGTAAGGTCTCCATTCCATTCTCCCAGTTTCTCCATTGCATGATGATACCATCTTCCATGGAGGGGGGGGCTCAGATGTCCATTTTTTTCCTCAACTGAGGATTCCCCACTATCATGGTTGACAGTATCCTTAATCGTGTCTGGCCATCTCCCGTACTTCTGCTGTCACCCGTTCTCTTCCCTCCACAACAACAATAGGGTATCCCCGGTTCTCACTTTCTCTCCCATCAGCCTCTGGATCTGATGGATTATAATTAGCCATTTTTGTCACCTCCAATGAAATGCCACAACCAGCTACAAGCCTCCCCTCCCTTGTCAGCATTCCGCAGGGGCAATTGTTGCTGGTACACCCTGATCCACTTCTCCTCCACTTCCAATACCTCCTCATAGCTCCACGACACCTTCCCCAGCAATTGCTTAAGGTCTAACACCTACTACTTTATCTCCTCTCTTGTCACCATCAAAGGACCAAGATGTACCTTCGGGTGAAGCAGCGCTTTACCTGTACTTAATTCAATCTTGTCAACTGTATTTGCTGTTCACAGTATGGTCTCCTCTACGCTGGGGAGATCAAATGCAGAGGGCTGACTGCTTTGGAGCTTCCAGTTGTTTTCACTTCAACACACCAAAGTGTTCCCCGCCCAACGCTTCTGTCACAGGTCCGCAGTTGTGCTCCAGCGAGCCTCAATGCAAGCTTGAAGAGCAGCATCTGATTTTCTGCTTGGGGCCTCTGCAGCATCTCAGACTCAATGTCAAGTTTGGTAACTTCAGAAAAAAACGAAAGAACTACAGATGTTGTAAATCAGAAACAACAACAGAAATCTCTCCACAGATGCTGCTAGACCTGTTGAGCTTTGCTAGCAATTTCAGTTTTTGTGTCAATAATTGTAGAGCCTGATTCCATCTTTCCATGTTTTTTCCTGTTATGCTTTGGGTTGTTGTAGCATAGCCAGCCCATTTTCACCCACTCTCTGTCCAATTATCATATGACACTGGTTGCTTTCAGCACAGACTACCCATTCTCTGCTACCATCAGCTCTCATTATCACTTATTCAACTTCTCTTCCTGTCCTGGTCAACCATCCCGAATATCCTTGTTTACCTACCACTTTCATATCACCCTGTCTTTGTGGCTTCATCTCCACCTATCTGCTCCCCTCTCCCTTTGACTGCAACCCCCACAAACTTTGTTTTCAATATGAATACCAGATTTTCCTAGCTGCTATCAATCTGATGAGGAGTCACTGGATTTGAAATGTTAACTCTGCTTTCTTCCTACAGATGTTGCCAGACCTGCTGAGTTTTACCAGCAATTTCTGTTTTTGTTTCAGATCGCCAGTATCTGCAATTTTGTTTTATTTTGTTGGCACTTTCTCTGATCATCTTGAACAAGGAATTTTTACCGAATTACACATTAACCTCTCCAAGAATTGTTTAGAAGCACAGGAATTGATTGATGAGAAATACAAAAGGACCTATCTAGTTCACCTTCTTCTATTTTGGTAATCTCAGATACAACCAAAATAGAGTCACTCTCAGACCAATCATCATTGCTCCACAACAACCTCACACATGTGATGTGGAAAACTGATAACAGTGGAAAGTTTTAGGAACCATGGGTGTTCCTCAACCATGCTGGAATGACCATGTATTTTGGCTCAAATTGCCCTTGTATTGTCACCAATACTATATTCTGAAAAATGTGTCTAAGATGGGGATATAACACATTAAACAGAATTAATGAAATTAACTTAAGTGTTACGGGGTAAAGGAATGAACCTTTGCTATTATTTGCATTCCTAATGTTCTGTATTGTCTGTTTGATTCAAAGCTGTAAGCCAATCTGTATGCATCAATAAAAGTTATAAATTATACACAATCCAACTGGCTATTTATGCAATACCATTAAGACTAGATGGATGGCAATATTTGAATCTATTTTGATATCCATGTTGGTGTATGCATTTTGATGTGTTAATTTTTCAGTCCTGGCACTAAGTCTCACAATTTTGTCCATGCCCATCAGTTGGAAATGGAGCAGGATGTTTGATGTTGTTTCGATGGACTCCCCATGCTTGTCCTGCACTATTCCATCCCATCTCCATCATGTAACTCTGATTTCTGGTTGCATGTGAAATTTTCACCCAATGCAAACTATATCTTAATTAAAAGACCAAGTCTGGAATGGTATTGAGATAAAAATTACAAGCTGCATGCTGTGAAACTGTTATTGTGAAAAAAAAGTGCAATGCTGTCTTTTTCTTCATCTAGCTCCTTCTATTGGGTAAAACATGCATTCCAAGATAGCTTGTCTGATGTGTGGCTTTAAGCCGTATGTGCTGAATTTAGTGAAAAGCAACACTTTTAACTAAAACCAATTTTTTAAAAACCCAGTCGGTGACCATGCCAGTGTTGACGCCATTTGGATAGCTGTTGTGAATGTAGAGAAATATGGCACTATTTGGGAGTTGCTGTTGGGTTCTGATACAGATAATGGAAGAATACATGCAGATTGGTACTCTTTTCCAGACCAGCGAAAGATTTCCAAGGTTTCCAAGGCTGGGATTTGAATGGACTTATCGCTGGACTGTTAATCCAGATACGTGAATAATATTCTGGGGACCCGGGTTTGAATCCCACCATGGCTGATGTTGGAATTTGAATTCAATAAATATCTGGAATTAAAAATCTAATGATGACCGTGAATCCATTGTCAATTGTCAGAAAAATCCATCTGGTTCACTAATGTCCTTTAGGGAAGGAAAGTGCCTTCTTTACTTGGTTTGGCCTACATGTGACTCCAGACCCACAGCAATGTGGTTGACTCTGAACTGCCCTCTGGGCAATTAGGGATGGGCAATAAATGCTGGCCTAGACAGCGATGCCCTCATCCCGTGAATGAATAAAGAAAGAAAAGGAACTGCGACACCTAAATTAGCAGGAATTACAGTAAGCAAGCAGTGGCAGACATTTAATTCATGACTGTTTCAAAAAATGCATCCCACTAAGGAGGAAAGATTCTGAGAGGGATAAACCAACCATTCACCAGGATGTTGCCTGGGATGGAATATTTCAGCTATGAAGAGATGCTGGCTAAGCTTGGTTTGTTTTCTTTTGGAGCAGAAAAGGGACCAGATAGAGGTGTATAAGATTAAGGGGTGGTGACAGATTGAATAGAAAACAGCCGTTCCCAGTATTTGAAGAGCCAATAACAAGGGAGCATAATTTAAATATAAAGGGCAGGAGGTTTGGAGGAGATTTGAGGAAAATTTTAGGATAGAGGGCAACTAGTAGTTGTGTCATATTTGGACTTCCTAAAGGTTTTCTGACAAGGTAAAGGGTTGTCATAAGATACGGGCCCACGGTGGTGGTCTGGAATGCGCTGCCTAGGAGTGTAGTTGAGG